ATTTCTATTGTGTTTTGCCTTATGAATATTAATGAGTTTTATAACATATTCTTACGGGATTAATATAAACATTACCAGGTGATTGGCGCATGTGTGCAAGGAATGACTGGTGGATTCAATGAAGGCACCATGCCATCACTCAGCACGCACATCATCATCATGGTCTAGAAGGAGAATCCGATTGTCTACTGCGCGAAGGACAAAATTCAATTATTTAACTTAAGATATGTGCCAGTATTTCAAATGAATTCTGTAAGAAGCAAAATAATCTCAGCTTGTGATGCTTTGTGGGAAGGGGGAAGGGGATTTTCCTTCAGTCTGAGACCGCACGCCGATTGGCTAAGATCAAACGTGATCAACTGGCCAATCACCTAGTATTTAAATAAATGCACAATCACACACTACTGCCAAAATTATCATTGAATCTTTATACTTAGCAACTCTTATATTTGCATCTAGATCAATTATAGCATCTTATGACATTACAATTTACAGCTATATCTCAAAACAGCAGTGTTTAACTTACCTATGCTTTTCTTTTCAATTTGAGGTTCCCCAATAAAGCATTTCAGATAGYAAAAGAAAGTAGAAAAATATTTGATCAAGATTAGTCATAGAACGCACTGTGCATGTTATAAATCATAAACTAAAAGACGCTAGTAGATGCAAAAGATCCAAAACAAAACAAAGACATTGACACCTGATCCATCGTTGTCTTCTTGTTCAACAGATTGCTTTGTCATAGAGTTGTAAGCTTGTTTTGTACTATTACACTTTTTCTTTGTTTTTGAYTTGCTGTCATTTATCAAGTCATATTTGAGTAACTTGGAAATAACTTGCTGAATGCCACTTGATTGGCTTGGAAAACCACACATTTTGTACTGAAGTGGTAGATGAGCTTGAAGCTCTTTCCATCGCTTGCAGCACTGTGATATGACAAGCAACCAATATCAATCTCAAGAAACATATAAAATTCCAAACAACTATTTGCATTACCTGCTGAGCTGTTGATCCCGGAATGAGCTTCGCTACCGCATCCCAATTTTTATCGTCTGCTTSACAGAACTCTTTTGAGCACATTAGCGTTTTCAAAATCAAATCTACTGCTGCCATTTCTCAGGAATATTTCAAGACATCATTTTGTTGATTTAAGGTGAAAATAAGGATGGATAAACAAAGAATATTGACAATTAAAGTAAGAAACGTTTGAAAGTGTATATGTTGTCATGTCCGCCATATTGTTTGTGATTCGTTCCTAGGCTCCTGTGGTTTGCCTCGTTTTGAAACTATATAGAAGACAGGAAACCCACTCGCTATGTGTGCATCACCTACCAACTACGTGCGAATGTTTCTATTTTATAGTTCTGTTTTCTCATTTGGAAAAAAAATTGGAAAATGACCAACTTGCATTAACTGAATTGTTTCTATGAAAATAAATATCATGTTCTATTGTATTGTGTTTGAACAGCAATGTATGTGCTTCGTGCATATCGTCCCTCTCTTGAGGCGAAACCGGTTTTACACAGGAGTAAAGACCGGTTTTCCCTACTGTATATGTTTTGGTCTTCAATATTTCAGCGTAAAAGGTTTCTTTCAATTTTAATATGGCTAGAATTGTCTATTTCCAGAGGACAATTTGTCGTATGAGAACTTATCCTATTGTCCAAAGTGGACGTCAACTATCAAGTTTACAAACCAAAACATTGCGTGAAAATAATGATGGCATTGAATTCGACACGACGCATCGATTTTTCCAGTCCAAGAAACTCAGTGAAATATTTCGCTCATTGGCGATTCTAAAGCTTTCTTCTTACGACACAATTGTCAATAACAGTTTACCGGTAAGTTAAGAGGCGATTAAACTGTATTTTTAAGCTAAAAACATTTTCTGTACGAGTTGCAAAGCGGGGTTGAAGCCCGAATATTCTTTCGAAGTCCGTCAATATATTTTATGTTTTTGGTGGCATATATCATTTTTAAACTTTATGTGATTCATACAATTTCTTTTTTTCATACTATTTATTTCTTTTTTGAAAAAATACTATCGCGTGATAGGCGCGATTTTATACCATACAACTAGTGTTGACACCACCCCAGACCTACTCTTTGATTGTCCTGGTAAATTGCAACTTTTCAAGGTTTCTAAATTAAAATCGACAAAATATAATAATGTTGCATGTAGAAATATTAKAAGAAATTTGTAAGAAACTAGATGGCTGGAAGTGGTGTTGATCACACAAGGAAACATTTTCACACCTAGTACACTAAATTTGTTTACGCACGATTTGGAGTGCTTTCGAAAGCACTCCAAATGGTGTGAATTGATTCTTTCTTTATTCAGTAAATTTTAAAGCGCGAAACACTAATTACTAAATTGTGGAAAATAGTGTTATTGAACAAAAGAATTAGCACAAMATAGTATTACTAATGTTTCACGCTTTTCCTAAAGGTCAGGTCCACTTTTAGTACATTTAGTATTTTGAATGTGATAAGTTGTTTAAAGAAGAGAACCTACCTAATTAATGTATAATTATTGGTACATAGACCAACTAACTTACCCAGGACCACCCCAACTTACTCAGGCAACTAAAATTGACCTCTCACTAAAAAAACAAATACTTTTACAAAATATTAGCCTGCATGCAGCCAAACCAAAGCTGTTGTTGTATATTTCATCAACAATAGTTTTGTTTCTCTTCCATGCAGGCTTCAAAACTAAGATGCCTATAGAATAAGTCACCTTTTTGTTATTGATAGACAAAGTTTCTTCTTGTTCTAATTTGCCCCTTGTTCTAACCTTTGCCTACTAGACACATCTAAACTTGTCTAATAAAGCTAGAAAGGTCATTGATTCAGCTGAGATGATGATTTCTGATGCTTAGAAATTCATTCCGATGAGATCACAGATACCACATTTGTAAACAAATGGTTTTTTAATCACTAAAAGCGCAAATATCATTGAACAATTAATAACAATATGCRTATATCTATAACATTTGAGCTTCCTGTGGCACAAGCTTGACATGATAGATTGTCAAAAAGGTCAAACTAAAGTTGTATGGCTAGCCCAACTAAAAATYTCTTTTTTCTTTATAGTTGATGAATTTTGCAGAAAGAGTCCTTGGTAAAACAATKTTTGAAAAGCTGATGAAGAAGACCATGTACATTCAATTTGTTGCTGGTGAAGAGTACGATGATATTCAAGAAAGAATTGCTCACTTACAAGAAAATGGAATAGGAACGATCCTTTGTGTACCAGCAGAAGAGGATTTTATTGAAGACACAGATTTATTTGACAGCAAGTTAGTAGCTTTATCATGGTTTTTGACACTATTTTGTTCAATAGGCAGTCTTTCAAAATAACAGATTACACTTGGTTATTTTGCGACACTTTGCGTATAGAACAAAATGGGGTTGAAAACTATGACTTAAGACAATAAAGAGGCAATATAGGGCACATACACACCAATTAAGCTTCAAAAACTCAGAGCCCTTTTTATTCAAATTTTGGATCCTCATGTTTTATCTTGGTTCGTCTTCAATTCAATTTGGAACTTTGATTTTTCCGCTTCCATTATTCGACATCAGATCCTCATCAGACTAATCGGTCAAAGGTTATCAAAAGGAGTAGGGGCCAAGTTGTTATTTATCATCAAGAGGGGATGGAAGTGGAGGCAGGCAGGTAATAGTGCTAGGGGAGAGTGGGTCACTTTTAATAATTTATTTTCAAAACTTTAACACTAATTATGTTCTGATGGATTCATTTTTAAAATGTTGTGTATCAATTATTTTACTTCAAACAACAAGTCACCTGTGATTTTTGGCAACTCTCATTTCTCATTTCTGGTTGAAATAACTAGATTAAACACTAATTGTTGTGTTTTGCTGTGTTTTACATGTTAGTTTGATGCCGTATTTTGCAGAGAACCACTTTTTGACAGGAATACTGCAGCTTTACATGAGTGCATAGACAAAACAGGTATGCTAACTAAACAGGATGATAAATTATTATGATTACCTCACTGTCGAAGGTTKAAATGTAAAAACAGCGTATACTAAATGAGTTTTTAGTAAGTCAGAGTGTTTTTGAAATTTTCACTTATTGAAGAAAATTGTCTTCAAACTCCTATTTTCAGTTAATAATATTTATATAGTCTTGTTTGCTACCTTGTTTGTAGTAATTTAAGAATAGATTGAAATAATTAATTGAAAAAAATATTTAAATATCATTAACAAAATATAACAATTTGTCTGGCTAACTGATTGACTAAGACCGTAAGTGTCTGATATACTATTTGACTTAAATGGCAATTAATGTCTGGTTTATGGTGTGATTTACACAGCAAAGTGTYGTGTTAACCCACTAAAAATGGCAATAATATCTGGTTAACAAATTGATTAAGATGGCAGTACTTGTATCAGTTAAAATTTATCATAATTGATTGCTTGTTCATCTTTTTTTTAGCTAGTGGAGCTTTTGCTCAAATGAGAGTTTCTGTACTGTGCAGTCCTTCACTTTTGGTAAGCAGACTTCATTACTAATAAAAACCTCATCTATACTGTTGATATTTACAATCTTACATGTACTCCTAACATGTACATTCTCAATTAATAAAAGATAGAGTGATGATGGTAGTATTTTATAGTCCAAAAAAGGTTGTCGGATGAAATGGCGAATGTCAGTGGTCGAATRGCRATTGCTMGACCGAAAATAKTCATGGGTTTTGSTAGTTGRAAGGCARTAAGAACTGATTTGTTCTGTACGATGGTCTGTGGTAAACATTGGATCGATTTAGTCTCCATTTCTCTGCAAGGTGAATCAAATAAGTGACATTTTTGTGTCAAAACAGTGTAACCATAGCCCCTTTCGGCCGTACAATCTCCCTTCGACAATCACCGTTCGCCATTCTCCCCGACGTTTTTTGAAATAGCTGTATAACCTATTAATTTGCATCAAAGCGGGATTACAATCAATGTGTGAAAATAGCACTTTTAGATCTCAATAGGTACAATTCTCTCATTTCCATGCATAGCCTCCTTTAGCAGCCGCCCCTGTATGATCATGCACTGCTACTCACACGGACGTCCATTGCATGACAGAACAGGGACAGCTGCTAAAGGAGGCTAGCAAAGGTGTGGATGGAAATTGCTTTAATTTTGGAATRTATGAATGTATTACATTTCTAGCAATGCAAGCCTTATATGCACAAGGTATACAGCCATTTCAAAAAAACGTTGTCTGGGAGACGGCGAACGGCGATTGTTGGAGGGATAAAGCATGAACAAAATTTCACTTATTAGATTCCCCTTGCATATAAATGACTACATGGAGCCAATGTTTACCATAGACCATCTTACAATATAAATCAGTTGTTATAGCCTTTCAAAACCCATGGCAAAACCCATGGCTACTTTCAGTTGTGCAATCACCGTTTGACCATTGACAATCGCCATTTTATCTGTCAACCTTTTCTGAAACAGCTATATATTGACCACAGTAATTCAGAAGCAAACAACCTGTCAGCAATTCTTGGCATCTTTATGAATATTAATTTGTGGCTACATGGCTTTTGTGTTACTGTTAGTGACATGTTAGGCTAATAATTTTGTGCTATATATTGCATGTGGTTGCTTATTCTCTTCATGCATATAGACCTCAGATGTGATATAAATCTTTTGTGTCATGATTGTAGACATACTTAACTAGCCTACTGAAGCCTTATGAGACAGAAATTGAAAAACCAGATGGTCTAGACATAAAAAATCTGRCCAGAGGATTTGATACTGATAAATATGTAAGTATAGCGTTAAGTTGCGAGTGGTTGATATATAATTATATTGCTAAAGTTTATCATCATCTGTTGTCATGACGATTATTTGGCATACACCATAACCATGCATTTCATGCTTACCACTCAGTTTTTTTTCTCTCAAAGTTATAAAAATAAAAACTTAAGATATGTGTCAATTATCTCTCTTACATGTAACTGTTCYTTCATTATTGCAGCATTTAGATTTAGTACCTAGTCTCTCTCCTAACAAAAACAGACATCTTCAAAATTCTCTGCGTCGAATGGATGSCTTGGCAGAGGTATTTACMRTTAAGGAAATAAACTTGCGGCAGCCACTTGGGTAAACCTGACAATCACATCCAGTCAACAGTAAATTTAGATGATACAGATTCAAATAACTATCGTGTAATCAAATCATAGCATCCCCAAAGCTCATGTTTTATCATGAATTTGAAATCAAACTTGCTTATTCACAAAACATTGTCATGAGTTGTTGTTGAGCTTAATGCTTGGGTAATGATAAYGAGGGACATAAAGGAAGTTGGCATTATCACTAAATCATCATACAATCTTCCAAATAACACAGAAAAACAAGAAAGATTTGTATAAATTTAGCTTTGTAAACATTTTGCAATTATGAATTGCATTGTGATTCTTTCACAGCACAGCAAAAGAAGAAATGTCCGTCTACTGTTTGATGCCGAGCACACTTACATGGAGGGCGCAATACATCAAATGTCTCTTACACTTCAAAGCAAATACAACAGAAAARTACCATGGGTGTACCAAACATATCAGGCCTACAGAAAAGTAATTTGTTATTCATGATTGTATATTAATAATTATATTAATTTAATTGATTAAAAAGAACTAGTAGGCCAAGCATTTAAAACCATGAAGGGCCTGTTAWTAAAATGAAAGGTGGCTAAAATTGTGCATTGCCATAAGTTTTCTACTGGATATTTTGTTTTAGATTTTATCCAATTGTTAAGATAATGAGAAAGAGCATATAAATTATATGATCAAATTCATGTGCAAAATCTATRAATTAAAAATTCAWGACTTTCTATTGAACCGAGGCATCAAGGAACACTGATCACAGATCTTTTCTTTTAAGTACATTGTACCTTGATGCCTCAGTTCAATACTTTGTTCGTGGTCARTGAACCYGAGTATGGAAAGTCGWGAATACTTTCTGTAATTTCTTTGACAATCACAGATCGGAGTATTTTAGCTGTCAAACGTGTCAAATACACAAACCAATAAGGRATCAYCACAGATAACAGATCATATTACTYTGATCTGTGATTGGTTAACTAAAATACAGCATGAAAGKGAGATTGCCTATGTTTGAGACCAKAGGATTGGTATAAAAACAAACCGATWTAGGGAAAYGCTTYGCTGCTTTGCGGCTCGATGACATAGTAAGCAAAAGAATAAAAGACAAGCCTCTGGAACTAGGGTAGTTCTTGCTAGATAGAGCTATTGATTTATGCAAACAGCAATATGTTCTGAAAATATGTAATTATTATTAAATTCTATATTCTGTTCTTCAGGACACTGTAGACAGACTAAGAGCTGACTTGCAGCTGATGTCAAATGAAGGATTTCACTTTGCATCAAAGCTTGTCAGAGGTGCTTATAAAGACTCTGAAAGGAAGAGAGCACAAGACCTYGGATAYGAGGATCCTATTCACAACACTTACCAAAACACATGTGATGCATACAATGAGTGTCTAGAAATGATCTTAGATAAAGTTGCCCACACWCCAGCAAAGATAATGGTAGCAACTCATAATGAAGATTCTATAATTTTAGCAACGAACAGGTAAAAAAATACTCTACTTATTGCAGATTTAAAAGCTATATTAATATATAATTTTTGATATATAACACACGCTCTTATTGGGGCTCATTTTTTTACCAGGATGGCCGAGTTAGGAATTGACAAAAGAGAAGGAAAAGTGTCATTTGCACAGRTTTATGGAATGGCTGACCAAATATCATACTTATTAGGTACTATTATTATACTTGTATCATAGAATGATTGCTAATATTTCTCAGAACAACAAGATTATTAACTTATTGCRATGTTCTAGGTTCAAAGGGATATGAAATCTACAAGTCTGTTCCTTATGGACCAGTCAGTAGCACGCTTGCCTATTTAGCACGACGTGCAGCAGAAAATARAGATGTCGTTAAAAGAACKMAAAAAGAAAGGTCTTTGATGTGGAAGGAGCTTAGATACAGACTGTATTCCACACAGAAAGAAGCTCACTACAAACTTTCACAAGAAAGGAAATAAGCAAAGGAAATTGTATTATTAATTGTAAATATTAAGACTAAATTTACAGGTAAAGTATAATGCCCAAATGTTACATGTATAATCACAACTTAAGTTAATAGTATGGGAGATTGCTATGAATTCTCTTCTATAGCCTCCCTACATCCAGTTTATTCTAGTAATTTAGAAGGTAAATGCKGGATGAATCTCAGGCTATTGGACAAGGTGCTGTAGTTAAAAAATTACACTTCTTGTACGTGGTAAGAAAAAAAAAACTTTCCAACAGACAATGTCTGGCCAAAACGTTAGTTTGTTGACATTTCAAATCCTTTTGTAAATAGACATGTATTTTAGCAAAAATGTCCTTTAACCAGTCAAACTTAAATATCAATTGTAAATTGCATATGTTACTCAAAAAGAAGTAACGTATTTGTAAATAATATATTTTTGTAGCTTAGAACTAAAATAACATTTAATGTTTTTCTAAAAGAGAATTTTGCCAAAAGCTCGATATTATATTGTGTACATGAATATTTTCTCCTAAAAAGGAAATTGTACACTTTCTTTATATCTTGAAAGAGCAATAAACTTGTGAAACAATATCAATATTCCTCAGAACAAGATTAATATGTCTTGTTGAAGTGCAAACCCTGACAGAAACTTGTGAACCTCCCTGTTCATATTATTCATTCACAGTTCCTTTTACTGTACTGAAGACCTAGTATATCACCCTGGATGCTATGCAGCTCTTGAACAGAAGTGCTTGTTTCTGATTTTTGGTCTGTTTTGCAATACAAGATTTGAAGCTTAAGCTRCCTGTGATAATTYACACRCTGTTATYATTTATCATTTTCTTGCTTCATTGAMAGCTCAGCAAATTGATGAACAAGGCTATTTTAATCACMACCTTATAGTAGCCTGAAACAGCCGTCATAATATTGTGTAATGTCACAAAAACRTGTACAAAGGATCCAGGGTGATACTGGTCCTTTGAAATACAATGATACAGTATCTGTGCCATTGTATGATTATAAGTTTGTTGTACAAGCTTTGGGTAGCCWGCATAGCCAGGCGTTCCTAGCTGCTCTTAGAGAGTTTGGGCTGGAGAAATCCAGAAGTGACCAATTCTGTGTTTTACAACTGTTGTGAGAATCCCATTACGAAACAGGCAGTTAATCATGCATTCTTATGAGGAGGTGTTTTTAAAATTTATTAACGCTGCAGGCAGGCATTGCCCCTGTGTTTCTCCAGCTTAAACTCTCYCAGAGCAGTTAGGAACCCTAGTTACGAAGGCTAGCTTGGTTCCCTGGTTTAATTTAGTTCACTGTTCATCTTGCTGCTATGCCAAGCCACAGTAACTTTCAAGATATTGCAGGGAAAATTTTTAAGGAATTAATTTTATCATTAGGCTTGATTTTGTTTCACAGATTAATGTCTCATTTAGTATTTTGCTTTATCTTATATGTTATAATTGTTATTTCTTTAAAGGACCATGTGCATCCCAGGAACCTTTGCATTATTTTCTTGCATATGAAAATTCACCATCTTTGATTTTAAACCAATCAGAAAGCACCTTAAAGCAAGAGGTCATTTTGTAATACAAAGGATTGCAAAAGATCTTCTTGGGTGCACATGGACCATATTAGATAAATAAAATTTGTTGTAGATTTAAATAAAGAAACGAAAGAAATAAAAATAATATTGGTATGTCACCTCTAGCAACACTATGGCGTGTCTTCTTCACCATTGGAGTATGACTCATCAACTGAATTGTTTCTAAAAATTTATAAAAAATAGTTTGATTGATTGCTCGTCTTCTGGTAGCCCGCCACTAAGAACAGCTGGAGACTAATTAATTGCATTATCAAAGTAAAAACACATAAAATACTGTAGTAAGCATTTCTGACAGTAGTTTGACAAACTAGTTTCATATTGCATTTTTTCTGTATAACGCAAAAATGTGTAGTTGCTTGACTTTTCAAATTGTAAGTGAGGATTAGAACATGTAAAACAACCAACTTTGTAACATTTTTTATGATGAAAGYTAGTACAAACAACAGTATCTTACTCTTCATTTGCTGCCTCTATGGGATCACTGTCATCAAGATTTGGAGCTTCACCTTCCATCACCATCTAAAACAGTAAAATTAAACAAAGGTTTGTCAGGAAACTTTGGAATGGAGTCTTACAAAGCCCTTCATTTACTGAGAAGCAAGGCAATTGGTGGTCAAGTGGGCTCTAGGCCCTATTTCTCCTTTTTTCTTAAAAATGTTTACTTGACAGGATTTCTCAATAAATCCATTATTTCTGCAAGTTTCATTTAAGTGCAAGTCCTGTCATACTTATTCYCTTGATAATATTTGGAAACTAAGAGTGAATGCTTACCGAATACAGACTTGCAAAGTACTCAGCTTGGCTAGCAACTTCTTCCAGTTTCTTACATCTTTCCTTCAGTGCATCTAGTTCATTACATAGCTAATGAGTTGAAAATACAAACTGTTAATTTATGAAAATTATGGTAGCTCTGTTTGACATGCAAAATTCCACTTGTTGGGTTCACTTTGATTGAAAATGGAGATAAAAAAACCTTACAATCTATATCAGTTGTTATTTCCCAATAAACCCATGATTCCTTTTGGTCAATCTCATGCAATCTCTATGTGAYAATTGACATTCGTCACTTTATCTGACAATAGTATGTATAAATGCTCTCTAAGTTGTAAATAATACAAAGAGCATGCCTTTTGGTTTTCTTCAAGTGCTTCATGCAATGCAACTCTTCTTTCTTCTGCAAGCATCTGCCAATACCTCTCTGGAGCTGGTTCTGTAAACAACATGCAATACTGGTGTAAAGAGTATCTCAGAGGGTGCAAGGGTGCAATACTGCACTATATTTGTCTACAAATTACAACTGTAAAATGTACAAATTAAATAGTAAAACTATAACTTCATTGTTTTTCTAAGCTAAATGCAAAAGTTTACTTAAGTTTGACAGAGTTGAATGTTTTGAAGCTAGTTTTTGAAACAAATATTTAATATTTGCCATACTAAATTTGTGAAGAAAAAAAGCTGGTTTACTATAAATACTGCATTTTTAATACCTTTGATCATAAGTTCATATGCTTCATCACTTGCAACATCAACAGACTGAAAGAAATGAGAACTAGTTATTGCAAGGCATTTCTAGCAGTAGCCTACTCCCCACACAACTTTTTTTTCCCTCCTTCAGGCTTCCTCTGTAATTGAAGAATCCTACTTCTCTCATTCCTATTCTTCCTCTTCTTGTTCACTGCAAAGAGACAGGAAGTCCACGATTGTCACTAACCTTGGGAATTGGTGCACTTGAATCTGAATCTGATGACTCTGTTGCTGTTGTCGGTGTGCAATCTTTCAAAGTTCTTTGGGTAAGATGATCTTTAACTTTAGGCTTGGAAGAGTGTTTCTTTTGCTAGAGAAAACAATGGTATGTACATTTTACAGCTTCCATTTTGTCATCTCAAGGAAAAAGTAGCCAAGTGCTCTCATCATACTCTAGTCTTGGAAACTAAATACAGTATGTTATTATTATCTGTAGCCAATTTTACCACACTTGAGGATCTATATTTCTGTGATTACCTGTCTTCTCAGTGCTCCTCCACTTCCCACAAGAACTCCTTTGCCATCTGCTGCAGGCTGCAAGACTTGCAAAGTTTTCCTTCTTTCACTGCCCCCTTTATTAGAAGACTTTCCCTAAAAAAGTTCATGAGGAAATCAAACGATGACAAAACMAAAAATGTAGTAAATCAAAAGAAATAAATCTATGCAATCATTGATTCACGAACTTTCATTCTTGACATTCATTTGGTAAAAACTCATGTTGTGCCATATTAACTCACTTAAGCTTTTTCAAATCGCTTTGAAGTTCTTTTGTCAGTCATATATAATCCATCTCGAAGCATAATTCAATGTAATAATTTAAACTACAGAAGAATCCTCAGAAATAGCAAAATAATTTGAACTAACGAAGCAATCGATGTGAGAATAATTGTAGCTTACCACTTTAGTCATACTAGGCGAACCATACACAGTGAAGCCGGTCGATTTGCCAGACTTTCTTGACGGAGAATAGATCTTTGTAGATAATTTCGAATGGTTTCTCATGTTTTGACCTTCCTCTGGACTTAAAGGTGTATTTTCGTCGGGGATTTCAGTAGTTTCCACACAGTCTTGATGAATATCGACCCAACTACCAACTCTCTCAAAAGACGCCATTTTATATCTCCCGCGTGAAACATACCAGCGTGCAATCACGTGATTGGTTAAAATAACATTGYCCACAGGGATACCAGAAAAATCTAGAAATGTTTCCCTTTTCAGGGAGGTGGATGGTTTTGTTTTGAAAATAAATTCTTACACCACAAGATCTCCACAAGAATCTTTCTAATTTTGTCAAATTAAATTTGGAGCAACTCAGCTCCTTGGTTTTTGCAAAGACCAAATTCATCCAACCCYCTCCCCCCCTTTGGTTCTCAAAATATTAAAGTTTGAATTGTGTCATGCAAAGGCATCACAGCCAATGAAAACTAAGTACGATTCAATGTGTATAAAACATTTAGTTGCCTCATATAGACAAATATTATTGACTTTAAGAAAATTCTACAAAATGTCAAAAGGTTTCAAAATTCTGTTGTAAGCCTTTGAATCCAGCCGGTGGTCATTTCTGGTTATTTTTTAACCAAATTTTGCATATCTTCAATTGCGAATAATTCCATAGCTAAACACTCTACAATCTTAAATTTATGTCAAACTATGTAGTTTTTTATGCTCTAAAAGGGTATGAATGTCATATTTTAATGCAAGTGAAAAAAATTGTGATGTAACTGAAATCCAGGGATTCATGACGGTTTGTTGAATGCTAATATACAAACTCATGGCATGAACTATAACAGTCATATTAAAWATAACCACATGCATATCCACTCCCAATTTGTATCAACCCCAAGGTTTGACACCTAAAACAAACAAAATAAATAGAACACAAGAAGATACTTTTAGCACTTTTATTCATTCATTTCAAATGTGGATTTAGTGCTTATGCATCAGCAATGGTAACTTCCACCTCTACACCAGGTTCAATGCTGATGGATGTCTRGTAATTGGTTAAGATAAATAATTTCTTGGATAATAAATAGGCGATTTGCATTATGGAGTCATTTACTACAGCTACCAGAATGCTTTGCCCACTTTCTTTTGTAATGCAATCAGTGCCAATTGTTTTACTAATCGCTAAGGGGATTAAAAATCTGAATAACAAAGAAAATGCGCAAGGCTTTCTGGTAGTTGTAGTAAAGTTACGCCATCATGCAAATGGCCCATTCTAAGTCTATATTAAGTAGTTTAGCAGCAGATACATGATTAAATACATTTTTAGAATTAAAAACTGTAAATTTGGCATTTTTAATATTGGCTAAATATGTCACAATCTTTGAAGTGGAGTTCATGGAGAGTTAAAGAACCCCTCTGTGTCTAACACAGCAAAATGATAAAAAGCAAACATTTTGATGTTTTGAAAGCTGGTTATGGTTTGCAACAACATGATTAATAATCTCTCAAGAAATAACAAGCAAAGCTATCACCACAATGTTGGATGAATGGACAATCCAAACAAATGAATGCTTTGTTATCTTCATTAAAAATGGTGGCTATGATGTGACATGCAACACGAGAATATTATCCTTTTCACACCAACAGAGCTGAAACTATTATGACAGCTAGCTATCTCATGTTAACAGYGATTCAAGGATACAATTTGCTTAACAATCTCCGATGGACTGTGGAGATCAATAAGACGCTTGTGGATCCTCATTTCGAACCTGTCCCAGGTTTTGGAGCCTTCACCACATGGGGTCTTTCTTGTGGTGATCTTAAGGTACTTAGTAGGCATACGGACAGGCCCCTTGACTTTAAGCTTCTTTTCCTTGGCCCCACGGATCAAATCAGCACATACTAGAACAGAAAAATCAATTTATCAAGAAAAGTTGACCTTCATCTACAATGATTATTTTATCATTTACTCAATACATATTTCCATATAAATAGCACTTCCAGTATTTTGTTTAAGGTGAGTCAGTAGTGGGTCGTTTAATAGTAGGCCATGTGTGACCCCCCTGAATTCAAAGGCACACTTATTCATCAATGCAAAACCATTTTAAAGAAACTTAGATAACCATTTAAACAATAAAGATTAACACCTTTTTATGAAAACTCAAGTCTTTCCTCCCTGTGTAAACTTTGATTGATTGATTCTAATAACTTCACAAATAWTACCAACCCTTTTCGAGGCTCTTCACATTACGGCTGGTGAGTGTAATTCGAATACGATGTATCTGAACTTCCTCTTCAGGAACGGCTCCCTTTTCTTTGTAGATAGACTATAAAATAGCATCGGTAAAAATTACACTATTTAAGTTATGTATCCTTAATTGCATTTGAGTGATGCATGAAGTTAGAGCGGATTTCGTATGAGTGGGAAACGGACGGTACTGTACTGTGACCGTAATCGTACTGTAACCAAATTCTAGTGCCCCATTGATTCACCAAAATTGTGCAGGCCAGGTTCGGTAACTGTGCGGTAACCGTGCGGTAACGGTGTCCCACTCATACGAAATCCGCTCTAATACATTAACTTATTTTATACCATTCGGGAAGCTTCTCCAACTAATAATTAGCTTTACACAAAGTTCAAATATAGATTAATGAAATACTAATACAGTATGCTCACCATGTTTTACAGTGGTCGACTTATTCGTTCGAATAGAGGTGAACCACAAAACTTTGCCGTTCACACGATTCAAGATGGCGGAAAGAGAACGAACACGTGGTCACGTCTTCWTTTTATACTCCAAGTGCGTAGTGACTTGTGGGATACCTATATAAAAATATGTTAATTTTTCAATTGTTTGAAAAACTTTTGTAGGGAATTTATGACAAAAAAGTGTACATTTTGTAATAAGTTTTTGTAATTATTCAATAGATTGCATTAACTTTCAAAATTAAGTAATAAATTGAAAACTAACGGTATCCCCAGTTGCACGGCCAAACCTAGCCTACCTTACTGCAAGACCTGGGTACGACTTATTCAAAATGGCGGGCTTGGCGGCGGATAGCGACAGTTTTGGAGAAAACTAAAAGAGTTCAGTAGGCGATCTTCTAGTTCAAGATGAGTCGAAGCGTAAGAGATCTTCGGGAGTTAATTTGCATGTCAAGATTGTCATATCACGGAGAAGATGAAACTCAAAATACGGCGGACGACCTTGACAGCAACACAGTTCCCAAGGAAACCACAACGAATGCCAATATAGTCTCTCAAAAGAAGGTTCTTAGCCCGGTTAGTCCACCAGGAACGCCTGGATCGTCAGGAAGAGGATCTCCTCTTCCTCCAATTGGTAAATCTGCTGCCGGTAGCCGTGACAGTTCGTCCAGTTCATTGCGCTCTTCRCCCATCAGTCCCACTGCTCTATGTCCTTCTGGGACTGCTCCAAGTAATGTCGGTTCTGATACAGTACAAGCTAGGCCAATGTCTAGCTCCGCAAGAAASTGCAAACCATTGAAAACAAACTTTGATTCATTGCTTTCWTATTTTGATGCAACCATTGTATCAGAATGGCTAACAAGGGCAAATAAAACTGTTTCAGAACTCTCTTCATGGGTCCATTTAGGTGACAGATTTGTAAACTTTGCAAATTTTTGGCTAAGTGAAGTGTCTCCAAACAAACGCAGTGAGTTAATATCCATGGAATACAGCATTGTTATGGATGAGTTAAAATTTGCATTTGGCGTTGGCCTGGAGGGCAATCAAATCACTGAACAAGATATTGTGGTATTTATGAATGCAGTTCTTTGGGAGTACCCAGAGAAGTTCTCCCCATCASAAAGTGGAYCTTCCTTTTTAAACATTCTTATGTGTTTATGCTGTGGACGGAAACACAACTACAGACAACTTTTAAGTGAYGTCAAATGYTCAACTACTAATAAGCAGTTTGTTCAATTCATTCTAGCAACCAGAGCTTTTGCTATTGTTAGCTTGTCATCGGGTGTCTTAGACTTCTACAAGCAAATCCATTCACTGAAGGACACTCAGAAAGCTGCTTCAGAAATTCCACAAGATAGTGAACTTTGCCAAATGGCTGAACATTTTGCTCTGATAGCCATACAGAAAGGATTTGTTGAAGTGTTTCAATATTTTTTGTTAAATTATGAATTTGAACTTTATGAAGACAAGGGTACTGATAGAAAGAGGTTTTTATTTGCTACAATTATTAGTGAACAAGAGGAAATGCTCAGATTTCTTTTAAAGGTGAGTTTAAAATCATTAAATAAAGAATGGTAATGACAATAAATCAAATCCATTGATATATAGACTGARGAAATTAATATTTTATCATAGGAAACCAAGTATAAAACAGTTATCAATGAAAGGTCTTCAAGTTCTGGCAATACTGTATTGCATGCTGCGGTGAATGCAGGCAACCTTAACATTGTGCAGCTATTGGCTTCAGCTGGTGCCGACATGAATGCATGGAATGGYGAATGTGAGGGCGCAACTCCTCTTCACATGGCYGTCTTGAGTGGTATGTAGCAATAATGGATATTGCAAACTCTTCAGTGACATGTTAGCAGTTTGCAGGCTACAAAGTTACTSCCAACATTATATTAAACAGATAGACCCTCCTTCCTGATCCTCAAATTTATTTCCCATTGTGTGCACTACATTACGTAAGATAAAAAAAAGAAAATTTGAAAARTCTTGACTTTACTAGTCTCCTTCATAGCCCACCCTTTTGTCGGGCTTCCTGTCTCACAGGAAGCCCATCAAAAGGTAGGCTGCAAAGGAGACCTTGACTACGTATAAATTATAAAAACAAAACAAACAAAAAACATAACAAAAAGGAAAAAACAATCACCAATAAAAAGTTATCAATTGAAAGTAACTGTTTATAAAATGTTGTGAACAGTTGTCCCCATTTTTCCAGGTGAATATGAAAACTATTTGTGGCACGGAACTTTTAGATACCAGCTTTTAGTGGCAAATGTGGTTCATAGATTCTGGGTTATTAAAAAAAAATACAAAAAAGAGATCATGCKTTATTATTAGGTCAAGGTAATTAAACTCTGCATGTTATTTGTTGACTAGTGTCATTGCTGTAGTGTATATTGACCATTGTTTAGAAATAAATCATGCATTCTCTTGTATTATTTGTTCTATTCAAGGGAATAAAGATRTGGTAGAGTTGCTTCTATCACTAAATTGTGACCCAACAGTCAAAATGGGAATACCAGCTACAGTTACTCCACTTATGCTTGCTAAGGATCTTGGACTAGATGAAGTGATTTCTGTATTAGAGRCCTTCAAAATAAAATAAGGTACCAACCTGAAAGAAATATTCTACATTGTAAATATTTTTTGGTGGTTAGGAATAATGCATGTGAAGGGCACATTTTGAGTGCGCCTTATTTTGATAATGGGAAACATGTTTTTTTTAATAAATTATTGCCTTTTTCAGTAAATGTCTTTTTTAAAAGAAGAGATATTATTTTAAATCACTTCATATAAAGTCATTTTCAATCAAAGCACTTCAGTGAAGAATCTGATTTTTAATTGTATTTTCTGTATTGACATATGAAGATCGAAAATGGAMATGTTGTGATAAGCCAGGATTTTAGCCATATTTCCATTATTGTTTGTGTTAACTTGTACTTGGTTGGATTAAAACAGCTAATGATATCCTCTTAACGATATCCTTAGGGTTGACGTCACTCCATTTGCTTTTAGATCAGAAAATATAAATTCAAATCGTTTTTTGTTTTGTTTTCCTTTTGGATGATTTTGCTTCAATTCATTTTTTTTTTTGCACTTGGGCGAATAAAAGTCTTCACGATGTTCTATTGTATTTTCCTTGCACCGAAGAACAATAACACAAAATAAGTCGAGCATTATAAATAAATAACGTATACACAATAAATAACGTTTATTTTTCAATCACAACTCAATTAGATTATTTTAGTAGACAATCGTAATGACTTCCTGTTATTTGCCTTTAGGTCGTGCGACATCAAAACAAGTTAAGTTTCACTAAAGTGCATTTCTTCAAAGCCTTAAGCAGAATTCATAGAGACATTGTATACAAAATGTTCGTCGTTGATAGGACCTTAATGCTTCCGTGGTTGGTATCATAGCATAATGACAACAGTCCAATCGATTTTGTTGAGCTTTATCTAGCTAAAGCACTTTAGGTGCTTAACCGTTTAGACATAGATTGCTAAAGTTGTCATCTATGGAATCATGATTATAATGAAACACCTCTAAAAAAAATAAAGTACCATTTGTGATGAAAGGATAAATTACACTAGGTTGGTTGTGCGGCAGACGATCGTCTGGTTGTGCRGAGTAAAAAGGACGAAGAAAATATAGAGAATAATTCATAAAAACAATAACATACTGATAACGCCTTTTTTTTCATTTTTTTAGTATTAAATTCGGCACTGAGACACCAAAATGGAGACTTGTCTACATCTCAGTAAAGTTTAAAAAGGAGAAAAAAGTGAAAGTATTATCTGAGAAAAAATCCGCCGAACAATGTTACCTGCAGGGGAAAAAATATGCAAGTTTTTGAAACCCAACTTTTTTTTCTATAAGCTGCAATAATTCGGGGCGCGGAGCCATCCGTCAAAYCAAAAATCTATTTGCTTCCGTGCCCACTYCAAAACAACTCTGAAAATTGTGTTAATTTGATTGCTTTGGTAGTATTTTTAAATAGAAATTGAGAAATGTCTCATACTTAGTAAAAAGCACGATGTTTTTAAAATAGGACACTTTCAGCCAACCTTAATGAACGCCGGATGTGTGAAAATAAGAACTGGAAGAAGAAGTGTGTGAAGTGCAAAGTTGCGAGCAATAAAAATGATTAAAAAATTATTGACATTTTGAAGATTGCACTGAGAAATTTCGTCTTTTTTTATCTAGAAATTGATTATTTTTTATCGTCTATGAAAAAACCCCAGACGTTTTGGTTGTATATCTACGCGGTTAGAGTATTCTGATGTGTGAGGTGACGGTAGCTTTTTTTGATAACTGATTTTCTTACATTCTCTAAACTGATTTTATCCGGCGTAACCTTTTTCGTTTGATATAAACCACTTACTTTTAGCTGAAAATCGMAAAAGTGACCGGTCTTTCTCTGCAATTTRACATTCTCATTTTTTACAATTCTCATTTTTATTCAGTTCTTGAAACATATTTTGGCTATTAGTCAAATATGTTTTCGTTCACGTTAACTTAAAATGCTTATCAAGCATGGATACCTTATTAATATATATTTTTGCAACTCGTGAAGGATTGATAAACAGAGAAGTCAAACGACATGTCTTTGACTTCACTTCTCCTAAAACAAGATGAATGCTCAACTTATTTMGCCTCTTTCAACTCTACCTTTCACTGCAGGTTTATCAACTTGCAGGTTTATCAACTTTAGCAAGCTTTGAAAAGTGCGTTTTCTTTTGCAACACGATCAACCTGTAACAGCTATTGGTTCTCAACAGTCATTTCATTTTAATGTCAAGAAATAAAATAACGAAACTGACRTCGAGGCTTTCAGAGGGTGAATGTTCTGAAAGATATTCGCTTTCAATAGATAAAGTAACTGTAAATCAAAATCAGTCTCAGAGTGTTGTCATCTTAGTCAATCTATGGCGAATCAATGTGACACGTGATATTTGCGCTCGAACTGTATTATGGAATAAATATCATGTGGAAGAATCCCGCGCTTTATAATAATCAAAATWTAATTAATGTTATGAACATCCTGCCCAAATTTAAGATGATTCTGTTCAGTAATTGTCAAAGCTTTAAAATTTAACATTGCTATTTGTTCAGTTATATTAGGTTAAAAGTGATAGGGAAGATTGTAGAATTGAAGTCTTTATTTATAAGATATATAAAACGGCTTGGGTCTCTGTCCGCTGATATAAACTCCCTCGTTGACTATTAACTATGGTATAACCACGATGTGAGAGTATTCCTTTCTTCTTAAGTGCTCTCCAAAATCGTGGTTAGTCCAGAGGACAGAGAACACACAAGCGCACCATTTTATATTACGTTATAAATTTTCCCGCCATTTTTGAACGCTCGTGCGGCAACCATCCCTCAAAATGTATTTCAAAAATGCTCGGGATTATTTTCCCAGTAKTCAAAGGGTAAATTAATTCACTAAACGTTGTGCGTGTATAATTAAATGTACAGTCCAACGTTATTTGCTTAGAATGACAGTGTTCGTTAACATTACTGTAAGCCATGCTATTGTGTTAATCATTTTATTGATAAATCAGGAAAAAAAAAACGGATTTTCGTCGACAATAAGAAGAAAAAAATAAATCTTGATTATATAATCAGGAATCGTTTTGAACATTTCGTTTTAGTATAGTAAATAAAAAAACCCGATCGATTATTGCGCATTTAATCATCGCTACTAGATATTTTTACTTACACGTTTTATTTGATCAAACTAGGTAAATATAACCGATCCCAAAATTTTCCACGAGATTACATTATTCTGATTATATTTTAAGGAGCTTTCAAGTCAACAAAGAAAGCTTTTCAATCAAAATGACAAACAGGGATGAACATTTTTAAAAAGAAAGCACTCCGTGGCTTCTAGTAGGAAGACRCACSATTGGAAACGTGTCAAATAAGGCACAAAACATATTTATTCGCAAACAACATTTCATAAACGCCGTAACCAATTAACAAACATRCTCGCTTTAGGTATTAGAAAGCTTCCCATAATAAGGCGAGTGTCAAATATGACTGGACAAAAAGACAAGAAAACAGCACGCTCGCTCTAGGAGATACACTAGGACGTAGCAGGAAGGTCCCACACAATCTGCAAAATGTCAAATACGTAGCAGCTCGACATATTTGTTTCCCAAATTTCATAAGYTATGAGAAAGGAACACTTGTTGTGCATAGGGGGTAAATTAGAAAAATCTTTTCTAAATCGCGGAAATACTCGACTCAGTCGAAGTCATTGAAACATGTTTTGATACACAAACTATCGAGTTGTCTTTGAATAAGCCAAAGTTTTTCAGTTGAGTGGGTGCTCTCTGTGTGCGTTTAATAGGAAGGCACCACACAGAGCGACAGCCAAAAAAGGATGATGTGTAACAAGYAAATAACAGGAAACTCATTATCAATTCATCATTTTATTTATTTCTTGATGGCATTTATTTTATCCGCGAGACATTTGTTATGAGTTAATGATCAGAATATTCTTCCTAAAACAAAACGAAAAAAAGCGAGTGGATTTCGTGCGAGCGAGAAACTGCCAGTACGAATATGACTCGTATGGTCACACCTTGCCCAGTCAAAACCGTATGGTATGAAGTCTTATGAAGTCTGCTGCCGTCCATACGCTGTTTTTCTTTGTTTTCAGATTAGGAACCCGTCCACACTGCAACGCGTGCTGGATATATGTATACGCAATAAAAATTGGTTTCCAGTGTATGGTGCTTCATAACCTTTGAAAGTCCCGATGTCGCGGCCCTTGACACGAAGCTACGCGATTTATTATTATTATTTTTTATTTTATTTTATTTTTTTATTTTTTATTTGGTCTCTTCATTTTATCAATTCTATATGCTTTATTTGAACTTAATTTTTCACTTAATCGGATTTAGCGGATATTTCAACGAAGCAACCATAATTAAGGTTCCTTTTTTGCCTGATATGAAGCGATATATTTTCAGTAAATTCTCCAGGTGCTGCATGCGAACCATAAAAAATACGCTCGAAAAATGTGCCGAAAAGTTGAACACACACTCGCAGAAATTGTGCCATACCAAAAGCACTTATTTATTTCACTTGAAACATCGTAAATTTCGTGTGGAAGGAGAGGTTTTTATCTAGTTGAATTTAAAAAAAATCAAATTAACAGTGTTGCATGTCGTAGTCTGTATGGCGACAAACTGACTAGACTATGATTTCGGTTCTCTTTTTACAGCCTCATTGCGGCTTTTGTATCTGTTTTTGCGTTTTGGTTGAGAGTATTGTATTTCAACCAGCASATTATTTGAATATAATTTCTTCTGTGTTATCAGTTGTTGTTGTAACAATATCATTAATACTTGTGAGGATATTCCCTTCTTGAAAATCATCCGGGAGTTTATATAGTTAATTGACTATACTTACCGCCTAAAAAATCAATCAAAAATTATTAAAAAAAATCGAAAGAAAAAAACAGAAGACTTCGTTCATCAAACAATTTACCAATTGCTATTCRGCCCAAAACGTCAGCATTTTTAATTCGCTAGCTCCTGGGAATATTAAACCACGTTTGATGCTGTCAAATCGCGAAAAAYGACTTTGCATTTAAACCCTTATCTTAAATCTGTCTGTCTTATCTTTAACCTTTTCAAAACCCACTCTAATTTGTCGTAAAATAGCAAAGTTGATTTTATTGCGCCTTAGATCTGATAGAGTGTGAAGAAGCAGAGAGTAATCATTTTGTCAAATTGGTATTGAGATGGAGACAGTCCAGTCATGGTGCAGGTGATTTCCAATTAAGTAATTACTATTCATTGCTTTGTAGATTGTTCAGTTTCTCTGAAGGAAAGACGTAATGRAAACTCTGCATAATACCGACTTGGTTCAACKTGTTTTGAAAGCGCAAATTAAAAAAATATACGGTTTTTTTAATCACTTAATCGATTTTCCGCGGTCTTAGAAGAGAAATTTGTTTGCGTTTTCCTTCTATGCTTCATGTTTCTTTAATAAAATTTATCTATATTACAAATATTTTCTGTATTACATATGTACAATGGAGCAATGAAAATGCTCTGAACTACACAGCTGCGAAAAAGGGGCTTAGCAACCATAGCGACGTTACATTACTAACAATATAAATATACAAACACTGACCCTTTTCTTTTCGTGGTAAACTTAGTTTTTCTATATAGCCAAAATATMATTCTAAAATAAAATATTAAAGTGAATATCAGCTTTTTTTTCTTAATGTTTTTGTAATCCGTCATTCATGGAAATGTTGTCAAGGAACCTCTTGACGACACACACCTATATTCCTCGTTATCTACACTCTTATGACGGAGAAAACCTGATTGTTAGAGAAGTAACACGCTTTTAGAAATGGTTAAAAATGATTTGATACAGACCTAGAAAACACGTTTTGAATYTGTCCCATCAAAACACAGGATTGTCACTTAAGATCAGAAATGAAGTCCTTATAATATATATSCTACAGTATACCGGGGCGTTATATTATGTACGAACRTAAAGATTGCAAAAAGGCGAACAGCATACTTGATTTAGTGATAAATAATTTGAACTGGCACCGTTTTCTCGGTATGGTGTTGCCCATTTGCTTGAAAAAAATGAGAATCAATATCACAATTTGTTTTAAACTCGACACCGGTATAAAGTTTCTAAAGGTCACTAATAACCCCCGAGATTAAGTTTCGTTCGTTTCACAACAGTGGTCTTGACGGAAATAATTCCAGCAAGAACGATCATMCTTGTATTGCTAGGCCGAACTCGAGGCTTGAATAAACAATTTGCTTGTGCCCAAATAATCCCACGTCAGGTGTTCGCAATAGGTAGAACTAGTTGATCCAACTGCTTGTTAAATTAAATACATCTCTTCCATGTTTCGACGAAGAAAAATTTCCTTCAATTGGTCTGTAACGTTCATCAATGTGGGCTCGTTGTCAGTGCAAACACCATTTCTTCGTCCGTAACGCTTGCACTTCAAGTGTCCTAAAAACATAGGACTTCGCTTCCGCGGGACGCTGTCCTCTCGCTCCGTTTTAGTGTGTTCAAAATGAAGGCTAGTCGTAATCGTTGTCTCGTCTAACATCTTTATTTGTTCAGCGTTCGATATATTCTCTTTGGCCTCCGCAGCTTTTAGTTTTTCTTTTAGTCTTTCTCGTCGTCTCGCCGATAACTCCGCTGCTGTTCTTGCAGCCGATGATTTTGGTGGTAGTTTTGGTTCGCTGTTAATGTCATTAACAGGACTTTCYTCTTTCTGAATTCTAATTTCACTAGGTTTTTCATGTCGTTTGATAGAAGCTGGTCTCCGTGGTTGAGATGCGGTTGCTTTCTTGTTGTTTATTGGCGGCAAAACGGTATAACTTTTAGGAAACTCATGTCCTAAGTTGATCTGAACCGRTACATGTTGTCTAGGTGATTTGATTACCGCTTTGTGGCGCGGAAAATCAACTCTTGCGTTCAAATCTACTCGGTTTATAGAGTGAAAATTAGTCGCTTCAAGAAGATCTTTCTTGATTCTAGTATGGTGCTGGTGTTGATGCGAAATAGATTTATTGTTATTGCTAGAGTTCCATCTCTTGTCATCATAAATACCAGCTGGAAGAGCTCCTTGGATCGGCGGCAGTTTAAGGTTCCTTTTCGAATTGAAAGAGTTTATCGAAGTATGATCCATTCCCTGATGAAAGCCATCCAGCCTTCTATGAATGAAGACCACTAGCGAATAAATTCAGCCGTGACCACATCGAAACATTTCCGGTAAAAATGGTGTAATCGCGCGGGCACATACAATCTTAACTGTGTGAATAGCTTGGACGTATACCCGGATGAAAGTTCGTTTTCAACGTGTGGACACAGTGACAGTGACAGCAAAGTAGTGAAAAGCAGAGTAATGTCGCATATAGGTGTCACGTTAGTCCGCTGATATTACCACATAGCATACCGACGACTCGCAGCTGAATGGRTTTTATTCGTTTGACAACTTGATTATTTATTTATGCGACCTACTTATCTATAATATCCTTTTAATCTTTGATATTATGTGAAACGCATTTTGTCTAGAAAGACTTACAGTATTATAACAAGGCTAAAATCCATTTAGTATCTCGTACTGCTTTTAGTTGAATATAATTATGCCGGTTTGAAAAGCCGGTTTGACTGTCAATCCRAGGCCATTGATAGGCAAAGTGATTACTGAATAGCTACTCGATTTCAAACGAATCGACACTCAGAGATCCCATTGAAAGGAAAAACAGTTTGAATATGATAATCTCAAAACGAGATGTAAGTACGTTAGCTTTTTTTACTGCGATATTTTTGATACTATAATAAATAAGACAACCGAAGCGTCTCTTTCATCCTTTTGAGAAAAAAAATTGTATCTTAATTTCCAAAAACGATCAGATAATAGTTGATCAAAGTTATCTTTGAATTGTTTATCGAGTGTTTGATATTCCTATCGAATATTCCGGTTAGCACTCACTCTTTTCAAGGTTTGCATATTTTTGCTGCTTTTGCGACGCCGATTTCTGGTCATTTCTACTTCAAAACTTATCTTTTAATTACCGCAGATTTGCGAAATCCTATTTCTTATCAGACTTAATTCKGACAAAATAAGGATACTTTTCGTTTTGCTTGAAAATGTTATTTTAGGGGTAGTTATCTTGTTTATATCAGAACTTTTTTACCGCCCGGTGTGAAGAGCACTCGGGATCTAACAGCTGTCTCTCAGATCCGCTAGTTACCAGTCTCCAAACCCAGAAATCAACTTTCGCGCGGAAAACTTTTTTGTCAGTTTATTAGAAAGGCGTTTTTGTGCTACAACCGCATCCTTCATTCCTCAAGTACGTACCTCTAATCATCCTAATTGCTCGCACACAAGTGGTTTGACTGATCTCGAGAAAATTCTCTCTAAAGACCTCTTCACTTGGATACGACACTSCACTTAAACTAGTGCGTACCATATTGATTGCCATAAATGAATTTTCGTCATTTTTATATGTGATGGATATGTGATGTCTGTTTCCGTGGGTAGTGTTTAGTTGCRAATCGTATTTGGTTTTTGAGCATTAGACGGTGGAGAGCGCGACAGGAAAACCGCACCACGTTTTTTTCGATATTCTTGATTTTTTTTTTGATGTTTTTCATTATTCTGATAACAACAGTGCGTGTATCTAATGTAAACAATGTGTTTTTGTATCCAATCACCAGTTGTTGTTGTTGCTGTTGTCAGTCTCCTTGGATTAGACTTTAATTTTTGTGTTGTTTTTATCTTCTTCTTTTTCACGAAACTTGCGTAGGTTCGGTTTATTTTTATTTTTTTCCCTTTCCCCTTTCTATTTTAACAAATAAAACGATAATAGTTCAGGCGACATTAATGGAGACATGGAAACTGCATCCACGCATCCATGTAAATGTTTTTGATCCAAAAACGGAGATGGTTCCCGATTGCTAAGGCTTGATTATGATGAAAATAGTTAAAAATCATGTTTTTTTTTTTCGTTTTTAATTGTCATCCGCAACATGAAACATATAATTGGAGTGACTCTAGTATAAGGTGAATAAAACAAAAGCGTACRAAGAAGAGTAACAATTTTCTTGACGCTGTGCATCGTTCCGGGTTGAGTCTGACTAAGGAAAAAGAGCATGTGTTCTTTCCCTTTCTTTTATTAACATKACGTTTATTTCCCCTCCTTCGACGTGTGAGTAGCATTAAATGYAGTGGTTTTGACCACATATATGAGAACAACGGCAGGAGATTGAGTGGTTTTCATTYTGCTCATGCTTTCACTTTACGGGATGTAAGGATATATTGTAGTAGAATATATTAAGTAGAAAATCCTCTTAAAGATTTGTGAAAGGAAGTAAAGTTACTGAGATCGACTGTTTTAGTAATTTAGCATAGAAAACTTCACTTCAAAATATAAAATAGAGGATATTACATGGGCGCGCGGTGATACGGATTTTATCTTGGCAAGTGTTGAAAAGATCTGAGTGAGCGTAGCGAACGACTGAGAGATTTCCAACATGAGAAGATAAAATTCGTATCTCCAAGCGAACATGTAATATTCTATTTATCATATAATTGTATATGAAAGCAAATTATGCCGTAAAATACCTTTTTTCTTACTAGCTCGAATTTTATTTTAACTAGTGAGAAACATTCCTCGTGACTATTAATTCTAAATTGCACTCAAGGTCGTGCGTTTTACTATACTATTAAATTATATGATAAAAGTGCAAGTGGTTTCGCTCTCTGTGTCTAATTTTGATGAAACAATACAGCTTTGTTTTGCGAGCTGAATGTGTTTGCTCTTTTTGAAGATACGTCTGTCCCAAGTGTTGATTTTATCTAATCGACGCGGAGCAATTTTAAAAGCACTTGGCAGGTGTCTTCCCCAAACGAAAGATTGATCTACATTAATGAAAATGAAGGGCTTCGTTTTCTCGCATTCATTCTTGATTCAAGTAATAGAGTAATAGTCTCGTGTGAATTAGAGAACTTATAATGAAAAAATCTTTCCCTGGATTTTTCATTTTATTGCAGGCTGTAACCWACGCATGACATTGGGGCTGGAGTTTGAGCCCACATAAAAGTTTCGCTCCGTAACAAAGCTCTGCTCATAACCAGACAGACGTCTTATCACAAGAACAAACTCATTACGGTTACTTTGCGTCATTCGCAAATTCATTTCGAGACAGAGTCCACCTGTGTCACAGTCCTCATTAAAATCCCTCCTTAGGTTAAATTGAGAATTATTTGATCTGTCGCAGCCATAATAAATATTTTAGGTCAAGTTTGGTCTGGAAATGGTTCAGTTTATTTTCCTGGTAAACACACCATCACTTTTCGAATTTAAGACCGGTCGCGATGGTCARTAGTCATCGAATCATTTCAGATTTGGATTGACTTTCATTGGATTCGACAAATATGACTTTCGATCTACAMATCTGTTTTTAAAATTAAATAATATTAAAAAATATTTTTGATCAACAAGSTCGTTGCTATGTCTTCTAAGCTAGGGTCGGCGCGCGCGCTGCATTCGAGTCATCGAGTGTGTTTGGCGGGAATTCAGTAATTGGGTTTCCGGTAGGACGTTTGTTTACGCTCAAAAGCAGCCTTTTTCAAAAACGAGTTATAAATTGTAAATAAACCATATWAATTACGATAAAACCAAAAGATAAGTCAATAAAAAATGGTTTTGTGTTGACTCGAGACAAGAGAAAAGGCTTAGTTGGATGGCTCAAAACGTTCAGTGACGTTTTTAGTCCATCGATGTTTGTGCTTTTATGTCGTCATGCACACKAAAAAGAGCCAGTCGTTATTAACGATATCTTACTTAGTAGCTTACGTTAACACAAAATCCAAATAAAAATTTGCGGTAAATCGACTCATCGCACGAGTTGAGAAAAACCGCTGACACATGCGATAAAAAATATTCGATTACCAAGTTTTATTTTTCATCCAAGTCCACTACATTAACGCTTTGTTATGAATATTATAATTTAGAGTCAAAATCCAAAACGAATTGCGGTGAGGCGGAGCATGCGTGCATTTAACTTAMAGTTATTTGTTGTCCATTCTCCATAGTTTTAGGTGACTTTCTATTTCCAATGTATATATATTTGTGAATATCTAGAAATCGAAAATTTATTGGACTATTGGGTGTTAAACAATTAATTATTTTTGTATTGTTCGTGGAGTAGCTAATCAATCCAACTCATTCCCCCCAAGAGCACCAATCAGACCCTGAGCCGTGCTGAACAGATTGACAGGAGAGCTTCCATCGGTGATCAAAGTTGATTTCAAACCAAGAGATTTTAGAAGTTTAACCTAAAGGAAAAGAAGATACCACTGAGATGTACTCAAAATACGAACTGGCTAACAAACAAGCATTGTACACTGATTACTACATGACCTTTCTCCAAAATGGCCGCCTTCCATTGGCATATATATTTCTTTCTGTATTATAGCTATCATATAGTACGCGCTCTCTGATTGATCAAATGTTATTGTTTATTTCATCGGTAAACCGACGCACGAATGCGAAAATGCTATAATATAAAAGCAATAAAYAACASATTTTCGTGCGTCCTGGTGAAATAAACCACTTRGGATATTGGGAAAAAAACTCATAAGGCTGAAAATCTGTCAGGAACGCACGAAAATGTGTTGTTTATTAGTATATAGATTATATTAGTATATTATGGTGGTCATATCAGTGTCTTAGGTTWAAAAAAAAATAAAAGAAAAAGAAAATTGACGGCCATTTTTGAGAAAAGTCGCTAGGAACGCCTTGTTACGCATATCAGATTCCGTTTTTGAATGGATGGCGAGTGCTCTAACCCTCGTCGATAAATGGTGAGTTCGTTTACAGTTTCCAAACACGTTAAATGTAATGAGATGGAGAAATGGAACGTCCTTTCTTCTCTTCTTGCCTGAGAGGACGAGGAGGCAACGAGAGGGTAGAATAAGACAACAACAACACCACACAAACATAAATCACAATGCAAATCTATGTAATCATTTACAAACGGTCAAATACAAGAACGGTTTAATATCTTCCACTGTTCTTTTCCTCACATTATTACCAAAACACTTACCTGCATTTCTGGCCCAGCTGTAGCAATTGCCTGGATTGTCTCAGCACCAATTGCTGACACCATGTTTTTAAACTTGTCAGTTTCAATGTTCGCCATTGCCTCGGCTTTGGTTATCTCAAGTTTATTCTGTTCACTTTCAAATGAAAGCTCAGCGTCTCGTTTCTTGGATAAGCGGTCAAGCTCCGATTCCTGAGAAAAAAAAAGAAGGAGATATTTAGCGAGGGGGGAAGTTGCAAAGCTACCCACCCCTGTAAAGTTTATCGCCAGAAATGGACTTTACARCAAACCTTTCCGAACTTATCATTAGAGGCCGATATAAGTGGCTAAAGCCTAGGTTATACGCCGAACTTCGGTCGAATTAGCGACTGAAACAGGCAATGGTTTGGTATTTAATTTATGGGTCGCATCTCCGTTGATTGCAACAAAACCCTGTGAATTATGTGAATTACAAAGTCGTCGATGTGTTATCAGCCAGCCGAGTTTGAAAACATAGTGACCGAAAGGAGATTGGAATTTATACTCGACACTTTAAATGACGTCTTAGGGCCTGATTATTTGAAGCAGGTTAACAGGGCTTATTGCTTGTGTTTCGAGTCCCCTAGGACAAAGAAAATAAAAGAAACCAGCCCATTGAACAGGGCCAGCTCGAATTTGATGATTTTTGTCGAAGCATAAAAAGGAAGCGTATTGGGCACATGTGAAGTTCGATATACAATGCTACGCCTACAAGAGTAGACGTCTCTGCACACA